ATACAAATAACTTTCTAATGATAGTAGACATAAGAATACTATTGCGTTTTCTAGTTCAAAGGTGAGTTAAAGCGACCTCTATGACAAAGGCACAGAAACCCATATTAAAATGAATACGATATCTTAACAAAATAATCATAGCCAACGCCTGTTTTTGTTACAAATATTCTTCGTTTTTCCCTTTCACCGCGCAATGGATCACGTAGAGTATATATTCATCACTCATTATTGCGTTTGGCGGTATCTTTGACAGTTGTTTCATATGGCTATTCTGACAGATAAAAAATCTGCAAGACTTTCTCCAATATTGTCACCTGTCAAAAGAAAAATGGTGTTGCCAACAATGTAGCACGTTTTGGACGCAAAAAATGGTTGAATAGTTTTATTAACCAACCGTGAAGTGAGAATTAAAAGTCGGTAGCAAAGGTGCCAGTGGTTTTTTTTTTACTTTGGAAACACAGTCGAATTTTCTGAATTCAATTCCGGATCTCCCAAATTAACTTTAGTTGAACAATCGACAGTTACATTATTTGAAGTTTTAGTTATTGATCGTTAATAGACTAGTATATTCAAACAGATCCCCTCTACGATCTGTTTAAATTGCCTTTATACCATTGATTTATTCAAATAGATCGTAGAGAGGGTTTTTTAATCATGTTTTGCAATAAAAATATTCAAGAATATTATTTAAATGTATTTTGTTATATTCTCTTATATTTACTCTATTTCAGTAAAGGATATCTAACCACCTGTATATATAATATAAACATAATTTTGACTCAGGACGCAATGTATTTCTTATAATAGACCCTCCATAATTTTATATTAGTGTATTATTCTTTGCCATAAATATTTAAAATATGGTTTATAAAAGACGTATGATATTTAAATATTGAAACTGATAAAAGCTGAAATTAAAAAAAGAGTTTATAATAGAGTGACAGACCTTGAAATTATAAACAAAAAACTAGATCATTAAGTCGTTTTCGCCAAAATGGTATTTGGGACTTTTCCCCTGCGATTCCGTAAAAATTCGAACCCGAATTTGAATTCAGTCTGGTGTCCGGTCCATTTCTAAAGCGACATCCGCTTAACCTTGAATTGGTATTAACGTTTCGTGGCATAAGTGAAGTGAGTTTCGAAATGACATAGTGATAGAATATCTGAGACACGTATAATCATTCAATTTTGTTTTGTATTATTAACAAATATTAATTGTGTGTGTTTATGTGTGTGTGAATTTTTAACAAAAAATGGAATCGATAGAATATCTACGCTAAATGAAGTGAATTAGAATTCGGGTTCGGATTTTTACGGAATCGCTCTGCATTTTCGACGAGTCTACTGATTGTCTAGTAACTTAAAATTCACAAAATATCTATTAATACATAGAAAATGCATACAGATGGGGTTTATTTTTAAAAATTGTTGTTTTCCGTCGAGTTGGGGTTTATTTTTGGACATTGTTATTAAATATGCATATCATTTGGAGTATAAAATTTACCAAATATAATAGAATCATAAAGTGGTTTTATTCAAAGATTTAAGTAGATTCCGCAATGCCTACGTAACGTTTATGGCTCGCCATAAATACACTATTGACGAAACCGTTATTTGTCTGCGTCTACTTTTATTACTTCATGTCTAGAACCGAATATGATTTCAACTTTGCAGCAAAATATAGCATGACCTCTGTAATAATATTTGAAATATAATCGTGCTGTTGTTTTTTTATATTTTTTTACGCTAAATTGAGTCAGGTGTCAGAGCTAATATAGAAACAAGCTATGCCCGACGAACCATTGAATCTTCAACCTTGACTTTAAAATGTCAGCATTCCATTGGTTGCCTATCGCTTGCACTCCGATGAGATGAGCAATGTCATTTAAGTATATATTTTCTCAGTTGGTATCCGCAACGTCGCCTGTCTAGTTTTTTTTATAAGCTTATTTGCCTCTGTATTGATATTTATCCAAAACTGCCGGAAAATACAAAAAAACTCATAAAGTAGAACAGCTTAGTCACCAAAAGGTTACTCTTTGAAAGCCTATTTTGTTTCAAAACATTTGATTATTTTAAGTTATTTCTCTATGAGCCTTTCTTTTGAAAACGACATGAATCTTCTGTCTCTTCTATTTCTTCCAAAATTATAAAGAGGTCGGGGTCGAAAACGATAAATCATTTGCAAAAAACTGTGCTATGTTCTAAAAAATAAATTCAATTTATTTCTATACCCAAATGGTTGCCTAGAAGAAATCGCTTGAAGCGATAAGGCAAGCGATAATTTTGTAGATAAACAATAAAGAATTTTCTATTTTATTCTTTCCTCATGAAAACTTGAAATCATACATTTCTTGACTCGAGGGAAGGAGGAACTAATTTAGTCGGTCCTATATGACTCTAATCCTACGCGGCGTGATGGAGGCTAGTTGTAATTCTAAAAAAACATTTTGAGCTGATTTTTTTGCTGTAAAGCCGTATTTTAATAATCAAAAATTAAGTTTAAACCAGTTTGATTTTTTACATTTGTAACTGCGTAGTTTAGGCTAGACAATTAAGTAATATATAGTTATATATCGTTATAAACGTTGCCATTTCAAAAGCAGATGCATCGAGTGTTGTTGGCATATTAGCTACTAAGAATGCGACATTTAGCGGTTGGATATTTTAAAAGTATTTTCTTTTTATAAAACTTCAACACATCTGCGTGTTATTAAAAAGTAGCAGGTAGGTGATTTGTTATTTTTAGACTATTTTCTAAAAGAAAACAGAGTGACAGGGCCTTGTCGATAATCGTTCAACTTTGACATTCGCACGCATAGTTCTAGCACGCGGCTCCTGTTATTAAAAAGTAGCAGGTAGGTGATTTGTTATTTTTAGACTATTTTCTAATCTGAAGGGGAATTTTCTAATCTGAAGGAAATACCTATACGATCATACAAAAAATAATTTTGGATATAATATTGTGTTATTTACATAAAATTATTGCATAATAGAAATATTAATAACAATTAAATATAGATCCTATATTCTTATTAAAAAAAAGAATATTATAATACATTTAATTCTACATAAAAACCATTTAAATTATAAGTTCATATTTTTTACGTTTAACATCGATGTTTTCATTAATAATGTAGACCAAATTTTAATATATACCATTTTCAAATAATATGAATAAAAATGTTTTTTTAGGAAATAAAACTTACAATCGTAATAACCAACGTTTAAGCTCATGACTGCCTGAAACAACCTGTTTAAATAGTCCAAAGTTCAATAACAAAATAGTAATCCAACCGGATTGTACAGCAACCAATAACAAGAGTATGCCGCATTCAAAATAACAATCGCTGTAAATGCTTTGCTAATAACGCGTTATTACGTAACGTTATGTTAATAAGCGCGTTATGATAAAAATATGAGATCGATCCGCCCATGTATAAGGTTCTTAGGGTTGCACAACATCCGTTGTTAAATTGCCACCATTAGATTTACACATATTTATATAAGATTTATAGGTTATTGATACAGATGACATTATAATTCTGTTGATTATGAGTGCATAAGTTTTCAAATAATGAATTCTAAAATGGCGCTTCCATTCTTATTCATTTGTATTTACCTTTAGCGATATGTGAACCACTTTTATTTTTTAAATTCTTTCTTGTACACAAATTAACTTAAAACAACAATATTTTATGGATATATATGCACCAAAAAGTGAGAGCATTTAACGAAATTTTATTTATATATTTGTATATACTCACACTGACCATAATAAAAATAAAATCAAGTCATTTATATTATCGTTAACCAGTACACTTTATACACAACATCGGTACCTACTTCTAATACGATACTTTTGAGCTGAAAGTGCTGACGTAAATAAAAAAAATATATATACCATAGGATTATAATATTCTGTACAAAATGCTGTTACAGAAATCAACCTAAATAATATACTTAATTTGACCCCAAATACATTCTCTAAATTAATACTAGGAATGCCTGATTGTAATTTACCACATTGTGGGTACATTTTGAGATTTTTTGTATCTTAGTGTGTTTGATAAAATCATCCTTCAATGAGCTACAATGGTTATAACCAAAATTCATGAAATTTAGCTTAAAAAAACATCAGAGATGAAAAATCGTATTTATAATATCATCAAAGTACTCGTATAATAAATAATTAAAGTTTAATTAAATATAGCACCATGACCTTTGCAGTACTTAACGATGTTAGTAACAGTTCATTGCGATTTAAGTTATCGATATCGAATAACCCATTTAGACACGTCACTAATGCACAACAGAGTGACAGGGCCTTGTCGATAATCGTTCAACTTTGACATTCGCACGCATAGTTCTAGCACGCGGCTCCTGTCAGACCAGTTACGTGATCTGTCACGGCTGTTACGACACTGCAACTCTGAAGTATGTTAGATGCGTGAGCTTCACTATGCGTAAGGGGTAATATATTTGATCATTTACGCATTAACAATGCTGCATAAAAAATAATTTTAAAGAAAAATGCCCAAAATCTCTTCAAGCCACAGGTGTGAGTTGGGATTCAAACCCATAAAGTTTGACAATAACGGGTATAACCAATAGGGCTGCCCGGAGCCCAACAGAACTGAATTATTTTCGCTATAAGTGATATGTTCATTAAAGCCCAACTAAACAAACAAAAGAAATATTTTTTCAGAATCAAAAAATATTTTGGTGTGTAATAAACTTTCGAATAATCGTATCCCTTGTTGCACTTTTATTTATGTTCTGTATATTATGATTTATGTTATACTAGCATTCTACTAGAGGCTTCGCCTACTTGGTCCTATATTATAAATACATATAAACCTTCCTCTTGAATTAGTGCGTATGTTTATGAATACTGCATCAAAATCCGTTGTGAAGTTAAAAAGATGTCAGCATAGCCAAAAAAGATATGTTAATTACTCGTATATAAAATATATTTAATTAAATGTTATCTTCCACAGATGCGATTCTGATCATACAGCAGAGATGCTCTACACACACTTACAAGCGTTAATAGAAAGGCCGGAAAACCAAAAGAAGTTCGCCGACATCGAACGTAAGCTGCAAATGAGAGGCGCCCTGCCATCTTCGAAGAAACCACCGGATTCTTCACTAGGAAGCGAAGTGTCCAGAGAATCAGATTCTGGAAGCAACGAGGAACGATGCGTGGCGAACCTGTATGACAGTTTAGCCGCAGAATTGAAACAGAAGTTGTCAACAGGTAAAAAGGGCATAGGTCAGTGATAGTTTTCTTTTTTTCTGTAAATAAGACGCTTCTATGTGCGTGTATTTTTGATATAAGATAGGTAATGAATACTTCATTGTAACTGTAAAAGTATAATACCTTTTTTTAAACGATGGGAACTGTCCTTAATCGACCAACATGCCAATTCTGTTAATGTCTACGTAATAATCCCATCTCAATAGAATTTAAACGACTTGCATTTTACCATTGTACTGTCTACTTGTAGTCCAATATTATTAGTGCAATTTCTTCTTCACAGCATTATTGGTGGCAGATATAATAAATAATATTGGACTTCAGGTAGATATAATTGGTCTACAGGATACAGGTATACAGAATTGGTCTGTTGGGCGAGAGGCTGATTCAGTCCTGAGCTCTCCAACCGCCGAATATGATAGAGGCGAGGCGTGGTAGATCTACCCGTCAAAACTCGCGCGTAGTCCGGTCTAGGAATATTAATCGTTCTCAGGAGTTATTCAACCGCTATGGTTGGCACTGGTCTAACAACTCCTGAAGATAATCCGTGGAGGGTCGAAACACATGTAGGGTGGTGATTATTGCGGGATTTGTTGCATAACAGGACAGATATTGGGTGTGAAAGTTGATAAAGCATAGTTTCACAGTTGATTCTATTAAGTAGGTAATAAAGGGCAAATGTTACGGAAAATCCGTTAAGCATCTCAAAGAAGTATGTGTTAGTATACGACATATTTTTCATCAAGTTTGCGAGATCGACTGGCATATGATATAACAGTTCTGACATTCGGCAACAAGGCATCTTCCATCGTATACGTGTTTATATATAAATACCATATCCATAGAATAAAGTTAATACTTTCAAGAAAACAATTTAACATTTGAGTTACACAAAATGGTTTGTTATTTTGGTGTTATTTCTTGAAGAGAATCAATTGCCAGTTTCGCAAATATTAACTTTTAAAATGATGAATGAAACAATTCTATCCGTGCATTAGTAAAATTGTAACACATTTGGCTAATAATCATTACTATGTAACTTTATTCCACGGATAAATTTGAATAGTACTGTATATTTGTAAAAGAATTAGATATGTCAATAGGATTTTAAAAACCATATTCAAGTTTCAAATAATGCTTTATAAACCCATAACGTGCTAAAAGAGCTTGCTCCCTGCTATTATGTATTAACACTAATTATTTTTATTATTTGTTTCCTATTATAAAATGAAGTTTCATACAACAATATTTCATCTGTCAATATACATAGTTTAACTTTATAAACTTATATTATGTCATTAAATACGCAGCGTAGGTGGACCATAATGTAAGTAAGTGTTATAAGTCAACAAGTATGTTATCAGAAGTGTTACTTTTGCAATAGGAATGTTTAATTAATAATGACGAAGTGTAAAAATAAAGTACCTACTTGCTGACTGAAAAAATAACAAATATATCTTTCATTATCAAATTTTGTTTCTATAATAATATTCAAACACCAGATAAAAAATTGGCAAATTGCATTGAGAAAATTCTACAAAAATCCGATAAATATTTACTTAATAACTGTATTTTCAGGCAAGAGCCCAATACTTCTGCCACCGCGGGACTATGACACGGTGCACAGACAGAAAGGCAATCTTAGCAACATCGACACCCGGCGATGCCTCAACCAGAACATAGTAGGGGTGAACGCTAGGCGCAAACTGGAGTCGTCCGGTGGAAGTTCTGGCATCGGCAGCGATCTCGCTCCCTCGCCAGAGAGGAACGACTACTCGAGGCAGCACGACAACCACAGCACTAGCGGTAAGGCATCATATAAATACTACTCTTTCTTACAAAGCAATATGATATCAGGCCTATTCTACTTCTTCGAAAACAAAATTTCACCTATTTTCGATAATTTGGAACCTGACACTGCCTCTGGTGCACGTATAATCTTTACGTTTCAACTTCCTTTATTATTTTAACAAAGTTATAAGAGATATGATGAGACGGAAAAGACAAAAAAAGAATAAATAAATATTATTATGAAATGAAATGAAAATATCTGTATTCAAATAGGCAATACAAGCACTTTTGAATAGTCCAAAAAATTTTTTTTTCCCCTACCACTTGTTCAGGATGTCTTTTAGCTGACAAGAAGAACAAGTGATAGAAACTTACCAGCTTTTTATCATAAGTAATGACATTTACATAAATAATGTCATTACCAATATAATATGTATTATCACAATAATAAATACAACTTTCAAAGTCTGTAGCACATAGGTTGAACATATTAGTCTTTATAGAACAAAGCGAAGTCTATTAATTCCATGCATTGCGATCCTTAAAATAATCATCAACTTTATAATAGCCTTTACTCATAAGTATATTCTTTACATGAATTTGAAATTTATTTATGGGTAGGTCAATTACATTTTGTGGAACTTTATTGAACATATACAATACATTGACCCAGAAATTATCCTCTGGTTTTTTGAAGTCTGAAGCTTGGAACGGCAATTAAACAACACCACATACATTACTCAGATTCCGAGATGAGTAGCTAGGGTCCACGTTTTTTAGAGTGTTTGAGAGAACGAAGGTAGCACAACACCCAGTTCCAGGACAACATAGAAATTCCATTTTCTACATTTACCCGACCCGAATTGAAACTGTGATCTCAAAGATGGTGTGGGAACCCCTCTGCTACGAAGGTCGTCAAAAGCTACAATTTACAAAATTTATCTACACACATATATAACGACTTTGAACATCTATCTCTCAAAGTCAGTATATTCTCAATTGTATATCAAAATTAGATTCTCAATTTTATATTTGTTACGCTCAAAAACGCAACCGCTCCTTGTGCTAAAAAATTGCTCATAACGCGTAGTGAGAGAAGAGTGGGAACCGTGGGAGAGCCACGCTTCGGCATGAATGGGCCGGCCTGACCGGAGTGATACCACGGCCTCACAGAAAACCGACGTGAAGCAACGCTTGCGTTGTGTTTCGTCGTGTGAGTGAGGGTACCGGAGGCCCAACCCCTCCCTATTTCCTTCCCTCTACCCTTCAACCCTTCCCTCTAAGGCCGGCAGCGCGCTTGTAGCCCCTCCGGTGTTGCAAGTGTCCATGGGCGACGGTAATCACTTACCATCAGGTGACCCGTCTGCTCGTCTGCCCCCTATCCCATAAAAAAAAAAGAATATTTTTCTACGGACACCTGCCATAAGATTTGAGACTAATACGATCCACATGGCAAAGCTTCATGGCTTTTCTTCATTGCCACAACGCGTTGAGGTTGAATAACAAGCATGTCAGCCACGTCACAAATTTTGCTATGTGGTCATTCTGTGATTGCTACAACGCGTTTTAAGCGTTTTCATTAGAACCATAACACGAATTTTGCGTTGTGATGGTTTTAACGTGACCACAACGCGTTGTGAGTTATTTTTTGTCGATTAGGTACACGATCAACAAAGATTGTTTTTTAATAGATCTGATCTTTTTTTATGCATCGAAGTTTGAGCACAGTGTGGTCGTAGCTTGTATTTTAAAAAGCTTGTATTACCTTTTCAAGTAGGTTTTATTTATTTTAAATCTTTAATTCTGTAATAGCTCTTTTTAACAAAATAGCCCTGTAATTTATAGAGAACTGACAAATTTATCAACGCACATAAATCTTAGAGTCCAAAATAAATTGCGGAGATTTGACATATCATTGTAACCTGACATGATGCGGTGTGTGTAAACAGCACGTCAAAATTAATTTTTCCATTTAATTTTAAACCTTTATACGTTGCGGCTAGAATTCAAAATCACTTGCGGAAATTTGCTATAAGTATTATGATAATAAAGGTTGTACGAGTAATATTAGATTTTTTGTAGATTGAATTATAATCTATAATCTTCAAGCTTGATGCATTACATAAGTAATCTATAATGTTGTTAGGCATCTAATCTAACCATCTAACAAAAACTTAAGCTATTTCGAAGCTCGTTTTAAGATAAATACAAGTTTCCTGGTGACGTAAAATTATTTAATGATAGCATCATCTCGGCTCGTTATTTAAATTAATAATTACCTATTTACCTATTGATGATTTCATTGGAGACAGTGTAAAAAATCATGTAATCTAACATTTCCGCATAGAATCTATGCTAATTTTGACTTTTGATGCCCGTCAAATTATATTAACCATAATTGACATTCGAATGGTGGTGAAAAATATATTGGTAAGACTTTATAAAATTGTATCTTTTATATTAATTAATATAACCATATTCCTTGGCAGGAGCTCTCGAAAAACGATAGCCCTTCATGCCACATCACATCACCAGCCCTTTTACGTCCCCACTACAGGGGCTCAGGCCTTCCTTATGGATGGTTAAGGAGGATGGGCCATGAATGACCCTCCACGCTGGCCCAATGCGGATTGGAGGGTATTAACGACTGCAAATGCAGCCGGGACCAAGGGTTTAACGTGCCTTCCGAAGCACGGAGTAGCTCGAGATAATATTTTTTTTTGGTCACCCATCCTGTGACCGACCCTTGCGAAAGTTGCTTAACGACTACGATCGCGGGCCGCGGCGCTTATCCACTACGCCACCGAGCTACCTTTATGTGAAGCCAAGTAATATTTGTGTGAAACGGACTATATAGCAGACTATAGGGTTAAAACCAATGAGTTAAACTGACTTTTATTTAGCTGCATTAAAATGACATTTCATCTGTCACCACATTTTTACGAAATATGAATAGTGACGTAGCAATAAATTGTTTCATTCAGTAAAAAAAAAACTCATATAATAAAAATTTAAACACGCGTTATCAAATATATATTATTCTTATATTATACTCGTTCAATGTTCAAGACAGGCTTGACCATTATTACTATTATTTTTCATTTATCCTATATATTTAACAACAGCTACCATTTTACAATAGTATGTTAAACTAATATTGATATGTAAGGCAAATAACAGTTCCCTACATATATACCTATTGACAATAATATAGCACGTAAAATAATAAAAAGTCAACTCTGAACGAGATTTTCTTTATATTTCTAATTACTCCTTTAATATTTTTTTTACAATTATGAACACATGGGCATCAAAAAATATATTTATTTTCCAGTGTTACCCAGTATTTTAAATTTAGAAATCCGGATTCCTCGTTCGACACACGTTCAAAAAACAATAATAAACGCAGTCAAACAGTTCGAGTGGAATATAAATTACTTAAAATAACGCTGTGACTTGACTCTTGAATTTTAGATTTATAAGTAAATTTATATATTGATTTCTCCTTTAAAGTTAAGTATGGCTACATACAATTTTGTTGGTTCTTAATAATCATAACTCTTGTTATTGCATTGAAGATATATTGAAATAGTAATTAGATTACATTTGAGCCACAACCTCTAGCATTTACAAAAGCGTGCGGACCTTTGACGAAAACGATGACGACACCCGTATCTGTGATCGAGTAAAAGTAATTACTGGAGTAAAATTCGTAACATAAGCAAATATATTAAACCAATAGACAAGAATTTGAATACGAAATTCTATGACCAAACCTCAAAAGAATCAAAACAAGTTTTTACTTGTTCAAATTATTTTTCACGGCGTTAAATACAAAAATCGGCATATTTTTTTTTTTACCACAATAGTGGTATTTTTAATAAAGCAAGCGACATATTCGTGATGGTAAATGAGTGATGTAAACATCCAAGTGAGCGGCAGGTCACGACTGTGACGCCATCGAGCTACTAAAATAGGTTTTTTGCTCGTTTTCGAGAATTCCTTTACTTTACTTATGAATGTTAGACCATTAAATGCTATACTTATAGCTGAGTTGTTCCGAATACTAAGATACAAGTTTTTTTACAACTAGTGATGTAACGTTTTAAATTAAATGGTTTTTAATGAAGAGCGAAGACAAATTTCATTATCGAGTATTTATTTTGTTTTAAGTCATTATTCGATTTTATGATTAAAAATATCACAGATTAATAGAACTTTTTTTGCTTCTTTGACATTTAATTTTGCATTTTTAATTTGCTTTAGTATTAGGTTAGCAATATAAGAAAACCAAAGAGTTTTTATGCACTACATTTAAATATTAAAGAAATAATTTTCTCACATATTCAAGACAATAAACATGTTTATAATATATTATGTACTTACATATAGGTATTTTAAATATAAACAAAAAATGTGACTGCATCAAAATGCGAAAGTTATGTACTCTTTGTTGCTGTTGGTGATGTCATAAGCTCTGAGATCACTGTTCAATTCCAGACTAATTCATGTATAGAAATTTATTTTAATACTCGTATTATATTTTTTTTTACATACAACGGCACATGAGGCTACCGTGAAATGTTAAAATAAGCAATCGGTTTGGAAACTAACGATAAAAAAATTAAAGTTTAATCGAGTACAGAGACAGTTTTTTAAAACCTTATATATGTTGACTCTACGCATTGACTTATCCGTCTTTTTAAATATATTCTAAACATTCAGCTACGGGAAGCTACATCAACGCGGTTCATTTAAGCTATAATTTACAATGGCGATTTCATGGAAAAACAGCTAGAATATAAATCTATATCTTCACGCCGTATCCTTAAAATCTATCAAACATACGGTACATGCATACGTTAAAAATTCAATAAGTTTAACATACAAAACTGATTACTCACGACGTTTTTATAACTCAACATTCTATATTAAACGTTATAATGTTGGAAATTAGAGTCAAATATTCTATAGTAATACGATTTTAACCATCTTCCGTTGAAGATGACGCTAAT